TGGCACCGCAGTACTGACGCGCGCCGCAGCATGCGACCGATTCTCACCTTGAGTTGGATGATTTCAGCCGAGTCTGTAGCTTGTTCAACATCTTCCTCTAGCTCGCTGGCTGGGCTATCATCATCAACTTCGTCGCCTTCTTCCGCTTCCAAGGGCTCAACCTCGCCAAGGCCCAGACGAGCGGTGTGCGTCTGGATTTGGGCCTCGGCATCTTCAGTGCGCCATCTCTGCTGCTTTGTGCGAAGAGGATCAACGATGACGATGCCACCACGACCTCCCTCCAAAGCTGGTTCGTAATCAAGGCCAGGAACAGTCTTGGCCAGCACAGTGAGCGTCCAAGAGATTCTACGCCATCGTAGCGCTCGTAGACCCAACTTTCGACCACTAGCACCTGGGTGCTCATTCCGACGGGCTGGTGCATCTTCGTCATCAGGGCCTTCATCCAGACCAAGTATCGCTTCTTCTTGCGCTCCAAGTGAACTGCGAGCGAGTACGTCGACTTCAGACTCAAAGACAAGGGCGGAATGAACCCCTTGCGACTTCCAAAACCCTCGTTCGTATACCCTTCGTCCAACCCACGACATTCCACGCAAGCACCAATCCTCGGGAAGAGGAGCATCGCCGGCCACTTTGCTGGCAATGTCGCGACGAGGGTCGATGATGGGTGTGGCGCTCTTGGAGAGAAGCACCAGTCGATCCCAAGGTATGTGTCGCTCGATGATGCCAAGAGTCTCGGGTTGCTTGATGGCGGTAGCCAGAAAGGTAAGCATGATCGACAAATAGGGATTCGGCGGCACGATCTGGCCGGGCGCTCGATCCGCGATGGAGCAAGCGGCAACAATGTCGAGCACAGTGAAGGCAAGTCGAATAGCATGACGTAGCGTGACGGGCACATCTTGATCCTGAGCGTCATTCACTGACGCAGCTTGAGGAAGACGAAGCGTGTGCAGCCCGGGTGAGCTGCCTGAAGCTTCCTGCGAAGCTGCTGGTCCTGTTGCGACATTGCCCAGAATCTCTCTTTGTTCTGCCTTTTGGTTGGCAGGATGAGAATCATTGGGAGCTAACAGTGCGTCTTCGGCACCGTACTGAAGCAGCGCAGCGAGGTTGATCGTGCCCATCATCATCCAGGCATAATTTGGAATCTCGTGAGGTGTCGGCTCCCTGTTCGGAAGCGCACGCACCCCGTCCAGCGCCTGGGCGTGCAGAGCTTCTCGGAAACGATCGAAGACGTCGTCAAAGTCGTCCAATTGTACCCGTGTGAACAGGATACCGTGCAGGTGGATGAACAGGCTGATCGGAGAAGCGTCAGGTTGAACCCGACGCTGCTGATGGACGCGGTCGAAGAGTGGCAGAAGGCTTTCTCGAGACGCTAGGTGCGAGTGCGAGGAGGACAAACTGTGTCGCATCAAATCGGGGACGTCAATTCATGTGTCAAATATGGGCGTGTACAATCTGTCTGAGCGACGCACCTTTTGAAGAAATGATGAAGCACGCGCAAGTCGTCGCCTTGGCTGA